AAAGAAAGAAGTGCCACAAGCCAAAGGGGAACAAGCAAAAGCTTTTTGTTCGGAAACTCCAACCTTGCTTTTCCGTAAATAATGATCTAGAATTTATACAACCCACTTTGAGCCTGAAGAAGAGAAGTCCAGACACATAAAAGTACATTTTAAGGGCACAAGCTCAGATGGATTCCTCTGGATGTTAGGCAGGCGTGGGCTTCAAAAAAATTAGCAACCCGTTCTCTGCCCAGTTGCTGGGTGGGCGTGGCCATGGTGGGCATGGCCTAGTTGGCCTCCTGCACCCCTATTTCCAATCAATGGAAGCAAAATAGAAAAATGGGTTGACTGTTTTCAATATTTCGTTTTGTTTTGCATCGGGGTTTTTTGACAACACTCAACCAATGTTGATTACTCTTAGCAGGTAATTACATATTTCCATCAGAATAGACGGAAGCATTCAAAAATACTGAACTGTTAATCATATACCAAGAATAATAATTCAGACCTTGCTAATTAATTCACAAGTCTAGTCCCCCTCAGAAATTTGGTTGCTGCAGGAATCACTGTGACGTTAATGGCAGGTAACAAAAAGCATGCGCTCTGCATATTAATTTGATTTTGAGACCAAAAGTAACATTTTTTACATCTATACCCTATTTACCTATTGCATGAAAATGGAAGTAACTGGACGATGAAATGTATTTGCCACTATTGCAAAAAATGGATTTCCCCTGCCATTCTTACTGAATAACAGAGTTGGAAGGGACCTTGGAGGTCTTCTAGTCTAACCCTCTGCTCAAGCAGGAAACCCTAGACTATTTCAGACAAGTGGTTGTCCACTCTCTTCTTAAAAACCTCCAGTGATGGAGCATCCACAACTTCTGGAGGCAAGTTGTTCCACTGATTTAATTGTTCTAACTGTCAGGAAATTTCTCCTTAGTTCTAGGTTGCTTCTCTCCTTGATTAGTTTCCATCCATTGTTTCTTGTCCTGCCTTCAGGTGTTTTGGAGAATAGCTGGATCCCACTTCTTTGTGTCGGTCTTTCAAGTACTAGAAGACTGCTATTGTGTCACCCCTAGTCCTTCTTTTCTCTACACTAGATATATTGTTTTACTGCTAGGAGATTAGTTTCATAAGACCTAGTTATGATCCCAGTTGATCAACCAGTCAAAGCCAACTACTTTTTCCACCTGAGCCTGGTTTTTCTTTTCTCTAAATCCAACACTCTTATGTTCTCATTGTTCTGACCAAGGCTTCCTGAGACTGTAATTAAGCACACGCTTAGTCTAAACAACTCTCTTTTTATTTCAACGCTGGGAATTATGTTCATTCCCAGCCCGTAATGAGTCCGAAACAGTATCTCAAGATAAGCACCCACCTTTCTCTCCTTTGAATTGCTTCCAATAACTAAAGTGCCAAATTAACTGTTAAAAAGCCAAACGGAGTACAAAGTCCACACAGAGCTTCAAGGCTTAATCCGAACAACCAAGTTGCTTCCTGCAAAGGTTCCTGTCCTTTTGCTCTGCCTTTATGTCTTATGGGAGGGCTAATCACCTCTAAGCCTTACTCCCGAATTGCCCCTTTTGTCTTAACTGTTCTTGCCTTCTGGCAGCTTTGTGCCCACGCACACTGGGAACAGGCTCCCCTTGTTCCTCTGCCTCGCTTGATGTCAGATTCTGCAGGTTCTGGAGCCAGCACATAACTCCCAGATGGCCCTGGCCCCATCTCTGTATCGGATGCAGGACCCTCATCTGAGTCCTCCCCAGACTCCCCGACTGGCCCATGTTCCTCCCCACTATCTGACTCTGTTGCCATCTCTGCAGGCTGCCGGTGGACCACAACACTCCTATTTGATCCTGGCCTATCTTAGACTTCACCTTCACAAGATCTATCTTGTCACACATGGGAAGACGCCAGAGAATGATCACTTCCTGTCCCCTTCCATAACTGAGCCACCTATTTAAAAGAAGACACAATCTACATCCACTTCTCAAGTGTGACTTCAATATTGCATTGAAGAACATTCTTGCGCAACACTAGAAAAAACTATCTATGTTAAGTGTTCATTGTTCGCTCCGCCTCCTGACATTAATCAGTTTTTTTCCCCCATCATCCACATAATTGAGAGGAACCTGACAGCACCCAGTGTCTGTCTGTCAAATCTCATGTAAAGAAAAGGGGTGGGATTGGGGGTAAATTAAAAAGAGTTTGTACCTTCATGTCTTTATAAAGCCACAATTTTCCTTCTCGTAAAACGAAATAACGGTCTTGAAATTTATTGGCAGAGAGAAGCTTGGAGGGTTCTTCTTTGTATTTCAGGTAGCCAGCTTTGACGGGGTCTTTTGAAGTTTCCTCTGTCAAGATTATTTAAAAAAGCATTTAGTTCACAATCTTGATAGATGATAGATAGATAGATAGATAGATAGATAGATAGATAGATAGATAGATAGATAGATAGATAGATAGATAGATAGATATAGACAGATATAAATGGAGGGAGAGAGAGAATTTGGTTTGCATTTAGTTCACAAACTTCTTTAGATAGATATATAGATACAGAGAGAGAGAGAGAGAGACAGACAGACAGATAGACACACAATATATTTTGCAGCTAATCCTCAACTTCCAATCACAAGTGAGCCCAACATTTACATCGCTAAGTCAGAAATTTGCTAAGTGAGTTTTTCCACATTTGTTAAGTGAATCACGGCAGTTGTTCCATTAGCAACATGGGTGTTAAGCGAATCTGGCTTCCTCCTTGACTTTGTTTATCGGAAGGTCACAAAAAGGGACCAATGCGACCCAGAGACGCTGCAATCGTCATAAATGTGAGTCAGTCATCAAACATTTAAATTTTGATGGCATGACCCTGGGAGGGACGCTGCCATGGTCATAAGCATGAAAAAATGGTCCTAAAAGTCACTTTTTTCAGTGTCATGACAACTTTGAACAGCCACTAAGTGAACTGGTGTAAGTCAAGGGCTATCTGTATAATTTTTTAAAAATTAGTCTGGAAGAAAAAAACAAGAATGAGCAATTGAAGTGCCCCTCTATTATTGTAGACCTTTCGGCTCTTGTTCAACATATTGCTGGGGTGACATGTGGTGTCTTTATATATGACTAGCTCAATACCTGTGCTTCGCTATGAAACTGTGTAGTCGGGCTTAGTTTTTGGGGAGGAAAATAAGGGGGCAAAATTCTGCCTCTGCCTACCAGCATCCATTGGTATACATCTGGCTAGTGTCTTGTCAGTGCGTGAGAGAGTTGAGGGCTGTTTGGAAACTGAAAGAGTATTTGCTGGGTGAGCAAGAAGGAGACAGCAAGGAGCCTGGGCGTGGCTTAGCTCAGCTGTTCTGTATTAAAGCTGCTTGGTGCTGTGAAACTAAAACTGAAACTGAAGTTCCTCCCCTCTGCTTGTGTTTTGGACTCGGAACAGATTTCTTTTCAAGTGGGGAAGGGGAGTAGAACTCTTTAGCATCAGAGCATGTTAATAATAATAATATGGGAAATACTTATGCTCTGACCCTTGTTCTTTAGCTGTTCCCTTCTTCTGGCAGCTCTGCACATGCGCACATTGAGAACAGGCTCCAGCTGTTCTTCTGCCTCACTGATCTCCAAACCGAAGCCAGCTGATAACTGTCAGATGGCCCTGGCCCCATCTCTGCCTCTGAAGCAGAGCACCGATCAGAGCCTTCCTCAGACTCCAGGACTGGCCCGTGTTCTTCCCCAACCTCCTCACTGTCCGGATCTGCTGCCAGCTTGGGGTGGGCCACAACAGCAATATCTCTACACCAAACTAGCTTTTTAAAGCTTCTGCTCCATTAACTTGAAATCAGAAATTAACAGACTTAAACTCACTACAGCTGGTAATAGCCAGCCAGCATTTAGCAGATTAAAATGATGCACTTCCAGTATTACAGACTGCCTTGTTAGTTATGATTTTTATATTGTTTTACTGGTTGATTTTATTATGCACATATCTTCTTTAATTTGATGGGGTTTTAATTTATTCTATTTGTTCGTTAAGCAATTTTCTGTCTGTTAGTCTCCGACTTTAAATTAAATAAACTAATAAATTGTACTTCTTTGGACGCCAGCCTCTCCACTTTGTAAGATGAATAATAGGTCATTTACATAGTTATGTGTTATCTGTGCATATATTATTAGGCAGTCCTTTAGAGAATAAGATATGAAAAGTCAACATACCTAAATTAATCTTGGGTGAAGATGGGTTCACAGAATGTTTGGAACCTTAAACAGGGATAAGAGCAAAATTATAAACCAGGATTAAATACTTTTGCTTGAATATAATACTAGATCTCTTTCTTATTCTCCCCAAAATTTGATTCATTCATTCATTCATTCATTCATTCATTCATTCCTTCCTTCCTTCCTTCCTTCCTCTCCTCCCTCCCTCTCACTTAGATCCTTTTTAACATACAAACAGATGTTCATACAGTTCATCTAATCCACACACCCAAATTTCTCTCCTGGAGAGAAAGAGTTGCAAAAGACCAGGTCCACATATGAAGGTCTAATTAAACTGATTTATACTCATGCCTATAGACAGGAATCTTCTTAACTGATATTTAGCAGATAAGGAGCAATGGAATTCAAGGGAAGTTGGACATACCTTGCTTGTGCCTATGTAGGGATTCTAGGCTAAACCCTCTTTTACCTCTACCCCAGGTTCTCCTTCTCTCACAGTATTCAGCACATCATTCTCCTACATAGAGGAAAAAGACAGGTAGACCCTAGAGAGTCTAACCATGGTCATTGCTTGGTAAGATATGTTGCTATGGGGAATAAGGCTACCTGTCCTATTCTCTGTTCTGATTCAGGTAGATCCAAAAAGGGCTTTTTATTAAAGGATTGGACAGAATTCCAGAGTCGTGCTTCCTCTGCCATGTTTATGCTAAAGCATATGTAAGTGCTACTTTAATGAACCTTTGCTAGCTCAACTGGAGGAAAATGCAAACATCTGCTCCCACTTCTGCTATATATAATTATTATTCGCTCGATTCCTGCATTATCCTAAAAAGTGACATGATATCCTTGTTGCTGGCTTAGTGCAACGCATGAGTCCACCATTGTGCCTCGCCAACCAAATATTTTGCTCTCCAGCCCACTAGCGAACGTCAACCAGGGTTTCCCTAAAACAAGCCAGGTTTTCAAAATTACAATTATGTTATCTATCCTGACTTGTGCAGTTTCAAGACAGAATAAGCATAATTGCAATCAGTGGGATAAAGACATCCATGGGGCTGATGGCACTCTCCTCACCACCTTCTTAAAACGAAACAAAAAACCCGGGGGAAAATATGTCGTTTCCTTTCGACAGTCAATTGAAGCTAAACGCTGCTGAAAAGATGCCAGCTTGTCTTTGTAAGAAACTGACAATGAAATCACATTTGATTTACTTCCCTTATTGCCTTTTTAGATCCTCGCATTCGGCTGTATCAGTGACAATAGACAAACCAGTAAAGCTAAAATCAGAACGGGCACTGGGATTGATTCAGGAGCCGCTTATTAAACCAAAAAGAATAGACTCGCTAATGGCCCTGAAATCTATCCAAGGATAAAACTGCACAAAACATATTTACGAGATCCTGTTTGTTGAGAGACATTCATTGTGAAGGAGAAGATGAAAAGAGAGCAAGTGGAAATACCTGTACTTTAAAAGTGCACAATATTGCCAATAGAATACAGGTAGTTCTTGGCTTACAACAGTTCATTTAGTGACTGTTCAAAGTTGCAAAGAGACTTATGACATTTTTCACACTTAAGACTGTTGCAGCATCCCCAAGGTCACGTGATCAAGATTCACTGCTTGGTACCCGACATGTATTTATGATGGTCACACTGTGTTGTGGTGGCAGATTCAGACAGTGAGGAGGTTGGGGAGAAACGTGGGCCAGTCCTGGAGTTTGGGGAAGGCTCTGACAAGGGCTCTGCGTCAGAGGCAGAGATGGGGCCAGGGCCATCTGACAGTTATCAGCTGCCTTCGGAGTCAGAGATCAGTGAGGCAGAAGAATAGCTGGAGCCTGTTCCCAGTGTGCGCATGCACAGAGCTGCCAGGAGAAGGGAACAGTTAAGGAACAAGGGTCAACTCTGGACTAAAGGCACAGGTGGATGGTGAATGGCCCCTTCCATTGAGAATAAAGAGGAGCAAAAGGGGAGTACTGTTTGCAGGAGACAATTAGTTCATTTAATTAGTGTGAAGATTTGTTCGTGACTCTCAGAGACTCCTTGCCAAGTATTTTCTTGTACAGCATTGTGCTTGGAAGATATCAGCCTGGCAGCTTTCCAAGCCTGATGAGGTCTGTGGTTGTAATTCACTCTTGAAAGACTGTTTGCCGGGACTTTGCTGGATGTGAACGATAGGAATTCACATTAGCCCAATATAAAAGGGGTTTTGTCGGGACAAGGAGTCTGCTTCATGATTTTGTGAAGCCTAGGTCAGAACATCCATTCTAAATATGAGACAGTTGTCAAGCATCTGAATTGAAATCACATGGAGATGCTGCACATGGTTGTAAGGATGGAAAAAGGTCATCAGTCACTGTTTTCATCACCATTGAAATGTCAAACGTTCACTAAATGAACTGTTTTAAAGTCGAGGACTCCCTGTGAGAGGGAATGCATTTCGGTATTTACCTTCACTCATAAGCCCTACGGTTGGAAATTTCTTTATTATAAGAGAGGCATTGCTAGGACAGGCCAAGGAACTCCAGTGAAGGATCTGTTCTAGGATGTTCTCGGTGCAATGCAAGGGACGTTCTAGAAGAAAAGAGAAAATGAAAATGTGGTTGGTTGTGATCTGGAGATCAGTTGCTCATTTTGGATGTTGCCACATGCCCTATACCAGGGGTGGCAAACTCAATTTCATTGAGGGCCGCATTAGAGTTGTGCTTGACCGTGTGTGTGTGTGTGTGTGTGGCCAGGATGGGCGTAGCCAGCTCGATGTCACTTGTTTCAGTGGTGATATTTTATAAGCCAGAGACCCCACCATATCAAATCCACCACAGAAGGCCAGTTAATTTCATGTTCTTATCTCTGCTGTCCAAATATTTCAGCTCATTGTGAATATTTTAGTTCCAACACTTCAGACCTCTACCTCTCAAACTTATATATCCTATTATTCTGCTCCCAAGGTCATTCTGTGTTGCTGGTAAACAGCAACAGAATTCTTTGTTCCAATCTAACAATAAATATTAGGAGGAAATTGCATTCTGGAAAACGTAGGCTATACTTGTGTTCTCGGAGGTTTGTTTCATCTAGTGAACAATTATAAATTGAGGTGAGGGGTTGTTAGGAGAAAGATGGAATTCCCTGGAAAATCACTTCATGAGGAAAGGTACCGCTTCAAAATGAGAGCTCGGTAAATTCAACACAGCTACTTGCGATGATAAATGCACACCCACAATTCTGCCAACAGAAACTGCCCTGTTTGAGAGAAGGTTTTCACTGTTATAAGGTCTCCAGCTTACTGCAATTTATGGTAAACAGAAAAAAGAAAAGGGAGGGAAGGGAGGAACAGAAGAGAAGGAAGAGAGGGAGGGAGGGAGGAATGGAAAAGAAGAGAAGGGAGGGAGGGAGGGAGGGATGTATGGAAAGAATGATGGAAGGGAGGGAGGGAGAAACAGAAGAGAAGGGAGGGAGAAAGGAATGGAAGAGAAGGAAGGAATGGAAGCGAAAGAAGGAAAGGTGGGAGGGAAGGAAGGAATGAAGGAATGGAAGG